TTCAAAGATACAACCTCTGTCCAGCTCCGTCAGTGGAAATTTGAAGTGCCGACGTGCACGCGCACCAGCAGGACTTGGTACGAAGGATCATGGATTCCAGGTTGACCCAGGATGTTCACCTCACCTTCAAAATAAATACAGATACAAGCTCAATCCCAGGTCTCGCCGCGGGCATGCATACAGTGGTCCTACCACTTCAATTCTAGGGCCATTGCACTGGATGGGCCCGGAGTATACGGTCGCGAGGGAACCTGGTGAATGCCGAGGTACACCGGATGCTAATGGTGCCGGTGAGTTGAAAGAAGCAGTGCATAATGCGCACGCACACTAACGATCGCAATCAAATGGTCTGGCAGACGAGGACTTGGAGTTCATGTCCCGCCACCGAGTCGAACGGGGCCCTTCGGCGCGCAGGCCCAAGAGGGACATTGCTATCAAGTGCGGAATTGCGCCGCACACCAGGAGGACTTGTACTCTCGTAGGCCAATCTCCCAACCTTGATTTGGCCGTTGGATCAATGTTCAACTCGGTCGCTGCTAAAGGTGAACGTCACCTTCAATCGTCATATCCCACCCCCGAGTCGAACGGAGTCCTTCAGCCACAATCGCATCTCGCCATTGTCACTTAGTGCCGACGTACGCCGCGCACCAGCAGGACTTGGTAGTGGTGTATTGCCCATGCTTGATTTGTCCTTTGTACCGGATGTTCAACTCAGTCATTTTCAGAAAGAAAAAACCGCTTCGATTCTAGTGTCCCCCCGAATTAGACGGGCATAAATGCTCGTGAGGGAGCCACATAGTGGCGAACGTGCCATTGGGCTTGCTTGGTGTTAGTTTGAACAGGCGTGTAATATAACAAGTCCACGCACGGTACGTCGACAGTCCTCCTCATCCGCGGCCTGATACCCAACAAGCCATAGAGAAACACGCAGATCCCGGCGGAAATTCGCTGCTAATAGTATCAGTAGAAAGTCTAGCCCCGCGGGTGGTCTACCGTTTCTTGGGTTCAGTCCTCCGCACATACAGCAGCACGAGGAGGGATTGACGAGGGCACGGGTAAGGCTAAGGCTAAGGCTACGACCAAACACGAAAGCGCACCTTTGGCTTGAGCAGAGTCCATAAAAACAGCACATGCAGTACGCTCTGCAGCGTGGCGTGTGTGGTCGTTGTGAATAGGAACGCGACCCGGTGAAGGCGGATATAACTGTGAGCGGGCTTCAGTCTGAGTGTAGAGAAAAAAGAAGGGGATGAGGAGATGAAGATAGAAACAAGAAATCAACGAGAAGAGCCCCCTCCCCTTCCTCCTCTCCCCATTCTTTCTGTGCGGAAACCGTACAAAAACAGCGGCGCACCTGGCTCGATGTTAGAACTCTTTGTACCTCTCCCTCAGCCTCTTCGCACCGTACATACTCGCCGTACCTGAACTGCGGCGCAACCGTAATTAACGGCGTGCACGATGCACACCATGTCACCCTTCATTAGTGCGGCGAGCGTCGCGGGCAGCAGCCGCGTCAGCACCGCGCGCTTCGTCTGCCCCCTCACCTTCGCCTCTGACCCACCAGCAGGCGAGCGCGTGGATGAACGGTGGGGAGCGTATCTCGGCGTAGAATTCTCGCCTGACATCGTGCGGCGCAGGAAGCTGATGTAAATCGAAAGGAGGGAGACTCGCGCGATAATGTGCGCCGTTTGAGGAGCGTCAGACCCAAACGCGCCAACTGACTGTGCACATAATCCAGCACAAACAAAAAAAAAGAATGATAGTGGAGGAAGACTCACGATGCCACTGCAATCCGCTCTTGATCCGCTCCCTCGTCCTGCCACTGCCATCCTGCAGCCTGGCGCGATCCTTCACGATCTTTCTGATTCCTTCGGTCGCAAAGGCAATCAGTGTGGCTGCGATGGGTTGCCGTGCGATATGAGCCAGAGACGACAGACGAGAATCGAGGTGACGGATAAGGAGAAAGATTGTGTTTGTTAGGCAACGGGGTTCAAAGATTGCATGACCAAACAGGTCAGGCTTGCTCTTGACTTCCATCACCGTTCGCGCCATGGCCTCACAGACTGCAGCGGCGAATACAGCACTTGCTCTTTCCAAACGATCCTTCTGTGCCGATGGGTATCTGCCCGCCAGCGCCACGCTTGCTCAGCTGGATCAAAGCTGGAATCCAATTGCGAATCGCGATTCGCGCGACTGGCGGGGCCGGGCTCTGCCGCCGGGCTTGACCCGAATCCGATTGTGGGCTTTGATACTGGGCTTATCCAAATTTGTTCCGATTTGCACAATCAGTTCGAACCTTACTGCGTGGCAAATCTGCAATCGTGCTGTCGAGCTCCATCCACACCACTCGTGCCCCGGATGCAATACGATCCACACTGGGCAAGACTGGAGAGATACTTACATCATTTCTGTGTTGCAACGCTGCTGTCTGTGATAACAACCCGCACCCACATCTTGCCTCAAGGACACAAATGGCGAGATGGCGTAGCGGTCCTTGGCGATGAGTTTTCCCCTTCGATCTGCCGTTCCAACTCCGGCGGGGAGCGCTTTCTGCTCAGAGCAATGACCGCAGGCTGGTTTGGCCGAAGCCCAAGTGATTATTTGCGACACTGTCTGCGGCGAAAATCTTGAATTCGGTCCGAAAGAAATCCCTGTGAAAGCGTTTCTCTAACTCCTTATTTCTGATAAACCCATCCTCGAATGCTGAGTATCCTGAGGCGCCCGCGTCCCAGTAGAGGGCGGAACAACACCGGAACAGTACTGAAGCTATTGATAGCCAACAGATTGACGCCCAAGCATCACGCGACGTGGCGTGCTTCTTAAGCAGCACCCACCATGTACACACAGAGGGCGAACCCACGCACTGGCATTGCGCAAGCTATGCTACCCAGCGGAGGTGGTGGAGGTAAGGCAGTCCTCTCTTTTCCCGGACAAACATTTTAACAAGGGCGTGAAGGGACGGGTCGCGGTGCACAGTCGGCAAAGACACTGACGCTCAGCGATGTGTATAGTCTCGTCGTAAAACTGGATGCACGGCTGGCTGCTCAGGAGAAGAAGTTGGTGGCCCAAGACGAAAAAATCACAGTCCTTCAGCGAGAGAACTCTGAACTTTGGCAGGAGATTCATCGGGTGAGCAATGACCCCAACAGTGCGCGAAGCTTACTAAAACGATGCCTAGTTGAAAGGACCCCGTTTCCCTCTTGAAATATTTCTGTCAATTGTGGATTTCGCCCGGGATGACAGGGAGACCCTCAAAACCTTCTCCTTGGTTTGCAAGAGCTGGATGCCAATCACACGCGATGTTCTCTTCGCCAAGATCTCGCTGCATGCGGCGTTCTGGTGCGTCAAGATTCAACCGGGACCGATTCTCAACAGTCCGCACTGCACCGTCTTTCCCTACATCCGAACGATTAGCATCAATGGCAGCCTGGATGATGGATCTTCTGATCCCAATGCGTTCCGAAATCCATGGTGGATGGAGGCCTTCCTGGTTCATATGCCCAAACTCACTGCCTTGACCTCATTGGAGCTTATCTCACTGATACCATGGGACCTGGATTGTATTGAACGTGCCATGGTCCCGTCAAAGAAACGACAGATCCGGGCACTGGATATACACTCCCCCGAGTTCTTCACAATCTCACAGATTGCGGTCTTTATATCAAAGTTTCCGGAGCTCACAACACTCGTCTGCGGAGAGATGTATGAATATTGGAAGGCCGATGCACTGCGAGATTTACTGGGAGCAAACGAGCCATTGGTTGCACCCCCCTCTAGCATAAGAAAGCTCGTGCTCGACGCAACCGATCTTTCACACCTCCCATCGACTATCCTGAAGTGGTTCACTGATCTCCATCTGGGCGTTATCGAATCATTCGTCGCAGGCAATCTTCCAGCCTCACACCCGGCTGAATGCAGAGCCTTCGTTGGTCGCTTCGGAGTTCATCTTTCTCATACTGTACTGTCGATTCACGGCTGTGATGATGCCGCAGGTGAGAAATACATTCCTCGTCAGCCGATATTCATTTAGATCTTTTCATTACAGTTCGATTCTTGGACTCGAAATATCTTACCATGTTCAGTCAGCTCAAATTCATCGGGATCGAGGTTGATGAGCGTGCAGTACATCACCTTCCGAGGGCGTTTCGGCAGCTACCCCCAGGCATCGAAGACATAACTCTCTGTCTCAGCACTATCGAGGACCCTGACAAGCTATCCCGCCCTGAATGCGCGTCCACCTGTGCCCAACTTGATCGCACTCTCGCGGAAACAAAATTCGCATCCCTTCGCAGCTTGTCCATCACCTTTGGCTATTACATGCGCGCAGATTACGAGGAACGCGCGCGAACAGTATTACCACAGCTTTTTCCTGTTTCCGCGCAAAAGCGGATTCTTACACTGAAAATCGGAATGATCGTACTCCCCTGGTACGACTTCAGCTGCGTATGCGCCCTGCTGCTAACTCGATTCGCGCATAGATGAAGAGCGCTAACGCAAATGCAAAGCCATGTTTCAAGTCAAGCAACGACACTACAAATAGAATTCGTTCGACTCCCCCTCATCGCGCGGGACTGGCGTGGCATTGTGATCTCTGATTGTCGGATTGTAACCTCGCAATGTGTGTGTATATGTAACGAGCTCTGAATGGGCAGTAGGACCCAGAGGACTAGCATATTTCGTTCAAACTGCTCTCAAAAAAAACGGTACCAGCTCAAAAACATGCACCCGAATTTATGCTCTCTGCATTGAAAGTCTGAGTTTCGGCATTGAGGAACGAAGACCGGCGATGCAACGGCTGTTCTCAAAATGCGGACTCTGCTTCCCGAATTTAGTGCATTGGCTGCTGGTATTGGAGCAGTTCAGGCATGCTTCGAGTTCCTTGACTTTCAAGCACAAACTTTTGCTGGCGAGGCAAACACTGTTGAGGAGGTTTGATATGCCATAGTGAGAGAAAGATTCACCAACCTTTTCTTTTATGAGGGATCGGCGCAAAAAAGGAGGAGCTGCCCCTGCAAGGTTCGAACTTGCGATCTCGCGATCTCCAGACAACCTGCAGACGGGGTTAACAGTCGTGCGCCTTCACCAACTGGGCCAAGGGGCAAGCACGGTCTGACAGATGCGGCGGAGAGTTCGCAATTACCTTGGGACGAACTTGATGTTCTCCCGAGGATGGGAGAGTTCATTTTGAGTTCACTATTTACATGCAGTTTCGCATTGCCGCCGTGGGCAGTGACTTCCAAGTGAAGACAGTGCAGTCAGCCAACAGCTCTACGCCTCCAGCATCTACTTACTGGAAGGCTTCCTTATCCGAGATACCCTGAACCAAGTCTGCGGTAACGCCGAACCCCTCCCGAGCATCATGACGGTCGTTTCTTCGCGGTATTTGCCGGACGCATCGCGCCCATTGCTCTGTACAAGATCGGAAGAGGATCATGGTTGATCCCGTCCCGTATCACCTTCTATTCCCAGGTCATGCGTATAAAACTCCGCGGTCCCGTCGCCATAGGCATTTTGCTTTCCCCCACTTGCAGGCAAGATCGTTGACATGGTAGGCAGCCGACATGATGTGAAAGTTCGAATTCTTATTAATATTCGCACAGCCGGCGATGTCCTTCATTTCGATTTTGGTGCTAGTCACTCTGATAGTTTCCCTAGCTGGTCTGTGCCCTCGAATATTGCCCGGCGTATCTTATGCTCACAGACTTTTCGTAGGTTCTACTTTGGCGCAAGGCGGAGACAGTGTGACAGAGGTCACTTTGTGGCAATTCGGCCAGGGCCGCTTGCTCGCCGGGCAGTCCACCCTTCCATTACAGCCTCTGGCCACGGCGAGCGACGGATCCGCAACGATGTACCTCTATCAGGTTCTCAACCCAGCGACCATCACCACGATCATCGACGGGAGTTTTACCACTCAAACTATGCCGTCTGTAGGTGAGCAGCTGTCTTTCTGCCCCACAGCATTCCACTGATGGACTTGTTACAGCTTCACGAACAGTAATTGCCTCTGCATCAGGATGGGTCGAGCCTTTTGGAACCACAGATGCCATCGCGTGCCGACTTGTGAATTCCAAGTTCGGAGAGTGTTTCACAGGCACTGGTACAGCCCCTGCAAACAGTGGTGTGCCAACGCCGGAAAGATTCCGAGTCGCGTTGCCCTCCGAGCCAGGTGAGCAATGTTTCGGGCGGGTACATCGGCATTATGATGATGACACTGACTTTCGATCTGAAGCCAGCTTAGGGCTAGCTACGACCGCCACGCCGAGTCCGACGCAAGCGAAGCACTCCTTGTCAGTGGGCCCGATTGTTGGCGGGGTGATAGGTGGAATCTTTGCGCTTATCTGCCTCATCCTGTGCATCGCACTTTTGTGGCGTCGACGGCGCCAAGTGCAGAAAGTTCAAAAAGAGATCAGCCCGCACGCATTCACTGCTAGACCTTCGAGCGCGGTTTCGTTCGCAGCCGGTCCACAACTGGAACTCGGGCAGGGGATTCCACCACAGAAAGGGGACCGACCTAGCTCGGTTCATCGGCTGGAGGAGGACGAAGAACAGGCGCCTCCTGCGTACGCGCCCGGGCAGCGACTGTTTGTGAGGTAATTCATAGGATCGCATCTTGTTGATGTTAGCAAGTGTTGATCATTTTGAATTCGGACATACTCAATGCGCTGAGGACGGCTATGGGAGTTTGAATTTGTGCCATGCAAATATCTTAGTCCGTCGAGGTAATATTCGAGAGCTAGAAACCAGGGGTTGTGAGTACCATAGGATGAACCAGACGCGTAAAGGAACGTGAGCGTACAACTGATTGGTCTGGATTTCCGTTTCCCGATGAACCCCTCTGCCCGGAACCAAAAGTCTCGCCCCGTGTGCGCTCCGTGGATCCAATCCTCGATGTACTTCAAGCAGATCGCGCCCTATCGCGCCCCAAGCCATGCAGATCCACGCTGTCGCGGAATGCGTCATTAGGCGGAGAGAGCAGTGCCATGCCACAGAGCACCCGGAGTGACGGGCAGATGCGAAGAAGAAAGCGGCACATGGAGATGAATCCGCCCCCGTTGAATGCCAGATGAGTCAGATGGGGGAGTCGGGCGAGGCCACCCCAGACATCCTCATCGACGACAGACAGCATGTCAAATATTTCGAGGTGTGTGATGTGAGCAAAGAACGAGTGCCCAAAGTCGACAAGGTTGGCGTCAGGCCCGAAAAGCGTTTCCACTGCGGCGTGGAGGCGTCTCAACCAGAGTTCACCGAAGCGGGCGACGAGACAAAGCAGGTGCTGTGCTAGTTATCCAAAGATTTTCGACGCTCGCACAGGTGGATAGGACAACGGTCTCTTCTTGAATAGCGAGATGGGATAGCAGTATCTGGCGCACCGTATCGTGTACGAAGGTTTCCCGCGCGTCGTGGAGGTGAGCGTGCCACCCGACTTGGCGAAATTGGCGTGCAGACGCGGGCGATGATCGATGATCCGCTACGACGATAGTTCTGTACAAAAACGGTTCTACCCTGCAAATAGGCAGAAGCATCTCGTTGATATTGACAGACGAGCACCACCGATCGTAAACGAACCATATCTTTACTCGCCAGGCGACCAAAGCAAGCTGCGGAATCGAGCGAGGCGCAGAGGCAGCAGCGACTTCGAATATAATTCGCTCCAGCTCGAAGGGGAGGACGAATGATTCGGGGGGGCCAGGCTCGGAGGGCATCGTGTAGTGTGTCTAGGGGCTGGGTTTATGGCTCGTTGATGGTGGTATGGTGATAGGAGAAGAGATGCTACATACGTGACGTGACTCAGACACGGGTGCGAGTGATTGCCGTGCCTTTGCAAATCCACTTTACGTTCTTGGGAACCAGCTGAGAAGAGAACGCCACAGCGTCAAACACAGTGGTCACACAATGGTACACATAGATGGTAGTACAGATTGCGAATACGTATTTTCTTTACTAGGAATACATTTGTTCAGGCCCGCGAAAGTGATGACGGAAAAAAAGACTGACCACAAAGTACATTTCATCCCTCTGGTTCGCATGAGGCGCCCGGAAGGCGTCGCGGAAGGCACTCAAGTCCTTATCGGCTTCAAAGGGTGAGCCCTGTTTGGTGTCTGGCGCGCCTCCAACTGTTTTGGGGTCAAAGTGAATCCCCCGACGCTCACACACTCGATGCGCATCTGCGAACGAGAGACGTCGATTTTGTGCGGAATCAAGGTGAGATGAGATGGCGTACAGTAAACAGGAGCCGGAATCGACACAGCGGAAGGAGAGCGGGCATAGACATGACAGAGGGCAAATGATAGAGCTTGGATCTGGTCTGGCCTGCAATTACGGTCAGACTTGAGGTGGTCGGAAACGTAAATGAAGATGCTCGCGTAAGATTATTCTCCTACAGCACGATAGAATTGTTAGTGTGCCACTTGACGGCGAGAGGCACGAGAAACGAACGTCATACAACACCTTGATGTGGGTCAGAAGGATGACTACATCCAGAAGGTCGGCGACTCACTGAATAATGGGCAGGCCGACCAGTCCCACGCATTCTGAAGGAACTGTGGCTCTGCAGGAAAAAATCAAGATCCGTGGGGTGTACCACGTCGCGGTCGATGACAGTTCCGGATTGGCAGTTGTCCTTGCTATCGAAAAATCTGGACCAAATGTCAGGACGGCGTATAGGGCGATAGCGCAGACTCACCGCATGTGGTGACGCTTGACCACAATCACGAGTGTAATTTTTGGCCTGACTTTGAACATACCGCATGCCTCTGGAACGATGTTAGCGCGGGTCAAGGAACGAAAGAAAGGTAGGGACTCTTGATTGACGGTAGTTCTTGGAAGGAAGATTAGGGTAATGCGAACGAACAGGTGTCTGCTAACCCCTGTCGAGAACAATTGGGAACTGGTCTTCAGACACGCCGTCTATGTATGAGGTGTTGAGTTACAGCGCAAAGTCGAAAACGATGAAACCACACCGCGGAAGAAAATGAGCCGCTTGGGAACATGGTCCTCCTCCTTGTACAGTGGTCCCTTTGCGACTTCTTTCTCGCCGCGTATGCGCATGTGAGCCTCGAGCAGAACCTTGAGGCGTGTCAATAAAGCCACTGGCGATGAGGAACGTGACACAGACCCGAGTCATGTCTTCCATGCCCTCGATCATCTCCTCTCCGCCCTTCTGCAGACGGAATTGGGCGACATATTTCGCTGCGTGTGAATCCGCGCTACAGACAACAGCAGCATAAGAAGGATGGTGCGCCAATGCCCCTGTTGGGTGTGTAACATCGGCACCTAGACGTGTTAAAATTGATGCACCAACAGGAGGCCACTTACCCATCACGACTGTTACGTTCTTCGAGTCGCCGAGGAGTGGATAGCTACCAGGGATATGTAAGCCCGGATGGTCCACGACCACATTGATGCCGCCGAGTTTCATGTTGATTCTAGCCATCCCGTGAAACAGTTGAACAAAAAACGGGATGAATGTAACTGACTTGTGCACGCAATTTGACCAGAACTCGGGTTTGGTCTCGAATACATGTCGGAGCCTGATGCATTGAGTTGATATTCCTCTCTGTTATACGCGGTCGGCGGAGCTGATTTGTTTAGCGAGGAAAGAACAAACCTGTATATCGCCCCAGCTATGGGAGCCGACAAGTTAGTCAGCGAAAATCATCACAGAAGTTGTACGCACTGCTTGACAGTTTCGTACATCGCGTTCTTGTCGGGTAGAACAATGAAGACCAGGGAGGGTTCCCGTCCGGTGCGCCGAACACACTCTCGTACAAGATTGTCCAGCTCCTGCGACAGAATGAGGCCACACTACACCTGGCGCAGTCTCACGTACCGCGGATATATCCTGCTGTCGAAGGTATACAACAGTCCTAGCAGGCGCGTCCCGAACCACCGTCATTCCTGTATACACCCCGATGAGACACGGGTCCAAGTCAGAAGTGAAGGAACCACCTCCTGCACGGCATGCATTGACAAATCGCCTGCCCATTTCTTTCCCATTGTTGGCCGTAAACTCCTCCTTTGGCACGAGGCTGACGAGCTCCCAGCTTTCAATCGTCGCAGGTTCGTAAAAATGTCTGTCCGTCCTAGTATGCTTGTCCCACG